CCATAGAATCTCCATTTTATTGTTTTTTAAATCAGGTTTTGGGGTTTGTAAGTAAGTCATTTCTAAGTGGGCAATACTCCACCGCCCTTTCTTTTCCTTTTAATCGTTTTATGTTGTAACCTTTATTTTGACCTCGTTCAGTCACCGTATCATCCAACCAAGATCGAGATGGTTAAACTGCCCCCAATTTTGTTAGCTAGAACCCTAATCTTGAAATTTAGGAAGAAGTATTTTCATTGCTGAATAAATGAAGGCCGTTTTTTCATAAAACAATCATAATCATCAATATAGGAAAGGGGTCATTTGTATTAAAATTTAGGTAAATCAATGTCATCAGGGCTAAAGGGTAACGTCCAAAGTGCTTTTGTTACACACAAAATGAATTCCCCGTTGCTATAATTGTACATACATCCTCATGACCCCCCCTTTAAAACATTTTACATAAGGTGCCTTTTCTGTTTTTCATGCGTACTTTGTACAGTGTATCATCTTTTTGGTAGTTTTTGAGAAATAAGGCTGTATTGCCCAAAAAGACCATGATGCTTACATAGGAGTTAAGGTGATGACCACCTCAAACTTCCCAGGCGGGGGAAGCCACCTAAAACTTCCCCAGGCTGGGGGACTGACCACCTCAAATTTCCCCCCAGGTGAGAGAGACCCCCTAAAATTCCCCAGGCTGGGGGACTGACCCCCTCAAACTTCCCCAGGTGGGGGACTGAACCTAAAACTTCCCCGGGCTGAGGGACGACCACCTCAAATTTCCCCCCGGCTGGAGACTGACCCCCTCAAAACTTCCCCAGGCTGAGGGACGACCCCCTAAATTTCCCCAGGCGAGGGACTGACCACCTCAAAACTTCCCCAGGCGGGGGGATGACCACCTCAATTCCCCCAGGCGAGGGGATGACCACCCCCAATTTCCCCCGGGTGGGGGAACTGCCCCAAAAACTTCCCCAGGCTGAGGACTTCTCGTAGTAGTAACCAGTTACAGTCTCATATAGAACCATTTCCCATTAACGCCGTTGACTCAACGAAAACCCGTCTCTGCCTGAGTCACATTAAATTTCATTTGGTTAAACGAAAAAAACCATTCCGATCGCTTTCCACCCTGTCGGGGTGATCTTTTACGAAATTCGGAGAAAAACAAAGTCTTTTCAACCCAGATTTGTTAAAGGGGTTTTGGCAGTCCCTTTCACGGGGCAGCCAAGAACTAACTGCATTCCCCTCCAAGGTCTTATCATTTCCCTCCGTAGGCATTTGGATTACGATCTTCCCCTATCCTTCTAAAGGGCTCATGACTAATATTTTTAGAGGTCTCATAGGTAATGCATTAGGGGTGTACTTAGATGACGAATCGTCAGCTAAAGACGGGGAAAACACATTGAAAAGACTTGTTGTAGTATTTGGTAAGTTGAAGAACCAATTTAAAATCAAACTGTAAAAATTGTCAATTTTTCAGTCAGAAATTAATTTTCGGGGTCCGTAGTCACCCCTGGGGGGGGTTACGACTGACCAAAGTAAAGAACTGCAGTACAAAATTTTTTTACTCCCAAAACGCTAGCCGTAAGACCCTTTTTGGGGCTTGCGGGTTTTTATAGATTTTTTCACTGCCAATTTTTTTTCCCTAGCTTTTCCCTAACTGGTTCTTAAGAAAGATGCCCCTTTTTTTTGGGACCTTCCGTCAAGAAAAAGCTTCCCAAACTCAAAAAGAAAAGCTAATACTGCCCCAAATTTTTGAAATTTCCAATTTTTCTAAGTTTCTATCTGACAATGTCTGTTAAATTGGTAGGTGCCTTTAAGCTAGAAGCCCGAGGGGCAAGTACAACCAGTTGCATTTGCTAGCCGGTCCTTACAAGGCTGAACTAATTATACAGAAACTGAGCAAGAAGCTTTAGAAAAGTATGGTCTTTAAAGCACCCCAGACTTTTTTTACAGTACTCTTTTCATTCTTACAGTCATGCCCACTGATACCCTTTTTCCAGAAAAACAAACCACGGAAGGTTACTAATGGCCTTGACTATCCAAGAGTTAAATCCCCCTTTGAGCATTTCCCTGGCAAGTAAAAATGATCGGACCTTATCGGAATGTTAGTTAAAACGCAGCCCCCTCCTTTTAGTCGAAGATGTAAAGAATGCCAACAAACAGTCCCATGGGGTTTGGGTGGATTCGTTTTCCTGCTCCAGGAAGATCTTATTTGACTGTGAAGCCACACTCCACAGTGACTTTGTCAGAACCAAGAATTATGATCAACACCCGGGTTGGGGTACTTCAAAGGATCCCAGTTAGAAAATTCCACAGCCTAGTAAATGTAGCCTTACAGCATTCACGATGTACCAGGTGTTGCACCCCCTGGTATGGACTTTCAGTAAAAAAACCAGATTGAAAATACTTTTGGCCCGAGGGCAACTGATATTTCTTGAGTATTTTTAGGAAATGTATGTTGCATGCAAAAAAGGCAATGCAAGGTCCAAATCCAACCCAAGTGTACCCAAACTCTACAACCCTTTGGGGAAAGAGTTTGCGCTGATTTTTAACTTTTTAAATGTTCCCTCCAAGGTAAAAAAATCTGTGTGTTAGGGTAACCTTTTCACCAATATTGTGAGTTAGTTCCTATTGCAGATAAGATGCCGAACAGTAAAAAAAGTTTTTAAAGAAGCATTTTTGCGGGCTACCACTCCTAAGTCCCTGTAAAAGATAAAGGAGGGGAATTCTGTAAAAAAATTTTGAAAAATTTGTGACCTTGTACAAGACACTAAAACCCCCCCATTGTTCCCCCATCACTGCAGCAAGGGTTAGCGGAACGAACCCAAAGAAAGTCTTGATTTTTGAGAACTATCAATCCCAAAAGTGAAACTTGGGGTGAAGTTATACCTGTGTGCGTGTGCTATAAAATTTTGCTTCAATTTTCTATAGGTGACACCCACATTTCATTGTATGGTGTAGATAAAGTTTGCCTTATGAGTTGTTATTTCTAATCCGAAAACCCAAAATTTCAACCCCAGATTTCATAGCAAAATGACCGCTTTGCCAAAATGTTTTTTTTGAAGAATCCGTAAACACTTCTAAATCAACAGTTGAATTTACAAGAGTCCAAAAATTTCTCAGTAAAGCCATCCAAAATCAAAGTAGGTTCGAGAGTTATGTTGACTAAATTTTTCAAAAGCGCAAAGCCAAAACTTTATCAAAGTTTTTTGGTCCCTTATCGAGTAGTTGAAATATCACTTGTAATAATATAAAGGTTAGAGAGTTATACTGGTTTTATAAAGAATGCATTTGGACTATGAATTTTGTATGTGATGATAAAGAGTTCCCAACCAGACTAATGTGACAGACTTGACAATCCCTGATCCGTATTTTTCCTTTATCCAGCAGTGATCAACCGAATTTCGTTTTTTCCCTACGAACCGCAGGTATTGAGAAATCCTCAAGATCATTTGTAACTTCCAAATTTTGATTTGCCTCAAATACAGCATGGTTAGCCAAAGCTACAGAGTTTTATCCTCCGAGAGAACCCTTTGCATATGTCAATCACCCCTGCAGAGTTGGGGTTAAAAGTAAATACCCGTATAATGAATAATTACAGTATCAATTATCAGTATCCAAGAATTTTTTTTGGGTTCGGTTCTCTCCGCATTCTGGGTTAAAAAGTCTAGATTTTGGTGCACGAAAACTCCTTTCTGTTAAACACTCTTTCTTTGTAATATTCCTTTCCCCAAATCCGTAGATCACATAATAAGACGATCGATCAAAATTTTTTTTTTTTATCACTTGTAATCTCAACGAGAGTTCGTTGTTCATTTGTTGAGTTTTAATTGTACTATAATACCTTGTATTGCATTACAGTTTCAGTTACTAAGCTTTTTATTCCCAAAGTTTACTTATGTATCTATAATGTTTAAGTTGTGTACTTTTAATTGTATAAATCAGCCCTAGCCGTACCTGCCATCTTATTTTTTTAGTTGTATGTCGGGGCGCATACGTTTGCGTCGCCCAGCTCTCAGTAGTGTAACCATTACCCAGCCAGTAGTAGTAACCAGTTACCAGTAAACCCCCGTTGACTCAACGATCAACCGTCCTGCCTGGTCACTTCGAATTTATTTTTTCTGACCCCGCTTTGGCCCCCTCACATGGGTACTGCGCCGGCTATCAGTATTACGAGTGTAGCCCAAAGGGGATAGTAGGGCTGGGAAGGGCTCCTCCGCATAACAGCAATTATAAGTAATAACAGCCAGTGAGTATTTCTACCCCAAACCACATCGAACTCCCCCTATAGATGCCACCTCAAAATTCCCCAGGCTGAGAGACTGACCCCTCAAAATTCCCCAGGCTGGGACGCCCCTCAAACTTCCCCCGGCTGAGGGGACTAACCACCTCAAACTTCCCCCCGGGGAGGATGCCCCCTCAAAATTCCCCAGGCTGAGAGAGACCCCCAAACTTCCCCCGGGTGAGGGCGACCACCTCAAATACTCTTTCTCCAAGGTTGATGGACTGGTTACATCATCTTTACTTCGCTACTACACCTGCTGTACTTGACTGAAGAAGCCTATTGTTTAGGCGAACCGTATCAATAATAAAGATTCCCAACTGTTACACGTGTCTCATGTGTTTTATGTGTCATGTGTTTTATGTGTCTCATGTGTCTTATTCATCAACTTCTCGGTATTTAATACCAATATCAACATACAAGAGAAAAGATCGTTGTCACATTTATACATATACAAGAAGTATACGATAATATGTATATGGGATCTATGGTGGAGATTATAACATAGAGGTAAGTGTAAGACGGGGATATAGAATTTTTGTAAAGAGGGAATGCAGGCAAGAATAGGAATATTTCCCAGAAAATAAATGGGATTGGGAGAGGGATTTGTTTTGTCACCGCAGTTGTTGAATATCTTCAATGATGTGGTTGTAACAGATGTGACTGTTAGTGTTTGAGAGTGCTGTAGTTTTAATAGATTATGAATCTGGCTGTGTGCAGCGTGTTCAGATGAATACAAAATGAGTGAGAGATCTCATTGGGTACAAGTATTTAATTTATGAGAATGAATAAGCATCACAGGTAGGAGGTGAACAGATCGGTCTACAGAGGTGGCAATACTCACCAGCACGTCTCCCCCGGTCGGCTCGCTGAGAGCTCTCTTGATCGACTTAATGATGTGGAAGGGCTCAGAGTAGCAGAGGCTCTGGAAGTCGTCTGTGTCGATGGTCCACACCATGGCTCCAGCCAGACCCTTGTTCTTGGCCAACCGAGCCTGTGAGCACACGACACACGTCAATAGTGTGATATGGCACAGGTCAATCATATGAATAGGGATACGGACAGGAAGTGATGCGGAGGACAGGTTACAGTACTTGGATAGGAACGGGGACAGATGCAGGTACAGGAAAGGTACGGGGACATTTAGAGGGAGCTAGGTAGAGCGAGAATTGCGACAGTGGGAGGTACAGGAACAAAGACATGTACTGTGACTGTGACAGACAGGGACGGTGACATGATTACAGACAGGGACAGGGGCAGGAACAAGGACTGGGGCAGGAACAAGGACTGGGGCAGGAACAAGGACTGGGGCAGGAACAAGGACTGGGGCAGGAACAAGGACTGGGGCAGGAACAAGGACTGGGGCAGGAACAAGGACTGGGGCAGGAATATAGACAGGAACATGGACTGTGCCCGGGGGAGGGAGTAGTAGGAGTAAAGAAACAGGTTAAGCAGTACGGGCTGTCACGGGATCAGGAAGATTGAGACAGGTACGGTATTTCCACCGACTATGAAGCAGGTTTGAAAAAAAAAATAATTAAATATAATTATTTTAAGTGTTAAACCCTGCAGGCCTGAATAATATGAAACAAAATCGAATATTAAAGGCGTATTTTAAAGAAAAAATAGAGATTCCATTATGCCCGGCAAGGTTTACTCCCTTCAAGAGGGCGTCTTGTTGCCGGTGAAGGGTTCTTCATGCCCAGGAATAATGTTACCTTGAGATAGACGGAGTCAGCATCGTCATAGCCACACCAGATCTTGTCAGATTTGCAGTAGAAGTAAGGTTCGTGCAGCGCCGGGTCGTGCACCACCGTGCAGTCGTTGGTGCTGTCCTCAGAGAGTCGCTCACAGATCTGACCAGGGAACCGACCAATATTATAGTGACATTAATGTTTTTTATTATTTGTAGGTTCTCCAGTTCTGTCCCGGCCAGGGTCTTTTCCAGATGGTGACCTGGCGGCATTAATGGTATGCAGTACTGGTAAATAGATGAGTAAAATACATGTGCAACACCTGGTATCTTTAATGCCGAAGCCTACTCAGCAGGTTTAAGAGGCACGTAATGTTCATTTTTCCACTATAATCTACCTTGTATATAATTGCTATCACATTTGCTTTGTCTGTTTCGTAAGGTGAAGTCTGAGCTGTGCTCAGCTGTGCTCAAACCTCAAAGATTTGTTAAGCTATACCGTGAATTAAGGAAAGATTCTAGACTTCACTTTACGAAACAAACAAAGCAAAGGCGATAGTAATTATGGATAAGGTAGATTATAGTGGGAATGAATATATTATTAGAAGACGGATAAACTTATGTGCTCCTTAAGTTACCTCTGTATTCGATTAAAGAAGCCTGTTGAACAGGTGAAATATTTCAGCCTGTTGAACAGGTGAAATATTTCAGCCTGTTGAACAGGTGAAATATTTCAGCCTGTTGAACAGGTGAAATATTTCATCCTGTTGAACAGGTGAAATATTTCAGCCTGTTGAACAGGTGAAATATCTCTGGTTATCTTTCTAATACTTTCTGTCTTCCCAGAGTGAGACTCTGGGAAGACAGGAAATATTAGAAAGATAACCAGAGATATTGGAATGAGAGAGATATCATGTTATCACACTAGACCCCACCAGGAAGGGTCCCTTGATGCCACTAAAGGGCTTTTGATACAAATAATTGGAGCGGATCTCCTCTTGGGAAATTAGACACATGTGCGACACTTGAGTATCTTTATTGTGGAAACGTTTCGCCACACACTGGTTTCATCAGTCCAGTACAAAAGAGAATAGTTGAAGATCGGGAGTTTGAGGAAATTAGTCCTTCAGCCTGGAGTCAATGTAATCAGTCCACCAACCAAGCCTGATAAACTGCGGGACTGATTACCTCAAACTTAATCTGATATTCAACTATTCTTCTCTGTATTGGACTGTAGAAGCCACTTATCTACGACCCTTCTCTTGTATGAAAATTGATTGCCTTCCATTTCCCAGGGCACCGTATGACACCTGCTAGTTTACCTCTGCCCGAGGACATAATAATATACCCACCTCATTAAGACCCACCTTATTAACATCTACCTACCTCATTAGTACCCAAAGTGCCAGACAGGCGGATGTAAGGGCCAGGATTCCCAGGATTGTGTGCTGGGGCGAGCATCCCGTGATCATTGATGTCATCCAGGGTCCAGCAGCGACCGTAGGCAGGTATACCCAGAACCATCTTCTCCGGTGGTAGCCCCAGGGATAAGTAGTAATCCACTGTGTACGCCTGGAAGTAACGATACATACATGTGTAAACATCTTTATACCATTACAGGTTGATGAATAACACGTGTGTAACACCTGGAATACAAAGGTGGCTTTATTACTGTATTTAGTGGACGTAGTTTAGAGGTGAAGATGAGGTGTTAACTCCTTCAACATTGACAGAACGTATTCAGTCCCTCAGCCTGGATAGTTGTTAGGTAAGGTTCGTCAGGAATCAGGACAAGTGTTTCCTGACGCGGGTCTTAGTTGTTCAGTCCCTCGGCCCTGATTGAAGGTGCTCAGCTTGACACAGCAACACCATAGTGTCTTGGTACAGGGAAAGTCTTCTGCAATTCCTTTGCTAAACAACTTTTTAGCATGACCTACTTCCACTAGTGGGCCACGCTAACTTATGACTTCAGCTCCAGCTGCTACGATGGAAATAAATGGAATAAAATACCGACACAATGGAAATATAAACATATATGCAGTATAATGTTTGTGACATGAAAAAGCCCACTGTGTGGGCGAAACGTTGTCAATAAAGGATCACATTATACTGCATATGTGTTTATATTTCCAGCTGCTACACCTCACTAATGCTTAAGTGTACAAGGTCTGGCCACAATCCTCTGCTTTAGACTGAGGGTCTGACCACTTTCCATCATAGCTGTGGGACTGATCACCTAAAAATTGCTTCTTATACTGTCTCAATTGTTATATTAGTCTGTATTTGACTGAAGGACTGAAGAAATCTGTTGCGCATGCGAAGCGCTTTACTAATAAAGATACCTAAGTACAGCACGCATGACTTATTCATCAACATTTCGGTATTGTATACCCTTAATAATACAATACACGGATAAGTCAGAGGGATGCTAGGAAGTCTTTATTCAGTCTCGGAGTAATAGGAAAATGGAATGAACAACAACAGCAACAACAAACATGGCTGACTCCCCCTCCAACTCCACTCCCTTCAAAGGATTCACCCATGATAACTCAGGTATGATTATTCCTGACAATATCAAGGACTACATCGTTGCTCTAGAAAATGAAATCAAAGATATCAAAGCAGCACTCGAGCGACGAGATTCCAAGATAACCAACCTCGAGAATAAGATCCAAAACCTTGAAGAGAAGATTACATCGGGAAGTGTTGACACAGAAAATACTCTAAAAGCAGCTATAGCCAGTCACACTGAGCAAATAACAACAATAAATATGAAGGTTGAAGAAGCAATCAAGGACTGGAATCAGAACATGCACACTCGACTAAATGAATACCTTGATTTCCAAGACGACAAAACTGAACAAGATAAGTTGTCCGATGCAGTGATAATAAACAGTCCACACATTCCTAGTGACATAACACAAGCACAGTGCAAAGAAACTGCTATCAGGATAATACAGAACCACGTACAAGTCATCGTGCAAAACAATGAAATCAAAGAAACACGTTTGCTAGGAAAACCAGGAAGTAAACACAGTATAATGATCCGACTTCATTCATACGATAAAAGAAAGGACTTAATTAAATCAGCAATTACAATGAAAAATGGAGTGTACATAAATGAGTGTCTAACAAAAAAACGTCAAAACCTTCTGTTCAGGCTGAGAAAACTTAAACAGGAAAACAAAATACATCAGTGTTTCACGCGAGATGGGAAAATACTAGTAAGGAAAACATCAACAGGACAACAATATACTATCTCAAATGAACACGATTTCTCTACCTTCCTTAGAAAAGCTGACATTTTTGTAACAGATTAGATAAGTGCCCTTAATACATATATACGTGTGGTGCATATAGTGAACGTTACTATTATATTGTACATTATTATTTTTATTATTTTTCATCACTAGCTAATGAAATACCTCCAATACTCTATACTTCTTTCTTACCACTATAAATTGCTCATAATTTTAAATTACAAGTCAAATCTTACTCCAAATTAATAATATTCATTATTCTTACCTGTCCATTTAATTTTGTTTATCACTACTTGTTTTTTAGTCACTTTTTATTGTGTATGCAATTAGTGTATATTCCAATTACTTTTTTGCAAGTACCAAAACTATCTTTTGCTAGCTAGTACCAACTACCTCATTTTTTTTACTTTTATTGTGCAATAAACTGCTCAATTTATTTAATATTACAAATCAGATCTTACTCCTTAACCAATATTATTTCATAGTGACCACCTGTCCATTTAACTTTGTTTACCATTACTTAATTTTAGTCCCTCATATATTTTCTCCTTTATTTTAGCTTTATACAACTACCCTAGTTTATACATTCACAATTGTAAAAATAATCAAGGTGCTATTCTCAGGTGCTAAAGTAGAATAAGTTCACAACTTTGCCATTATATTCCAAAACTACCTTAGCTCATTATTTTACATTTGTTAAATAATTCAGGTGCTATTTTTTAGCTTAAGACTATTTACTTTGTTTTATACTTAATTCTAACTATAGATTCACTACAAATCTTATGATTACAAGCATTGATCCTGATACCAACCTCTTATTTAACGACTTAAATGATTCAAACAGTTACTGTAATTACTACACTGCAGAACAATCAAAGGCACTTCTCAGTGCCAACAACAACATAACTATCTTTAACTACAATATCAGATCTTTAAGCAAGCATTACGATGACCTCATAGCATTACTAAATTCCTTACATGCCAATATGTCCATCATTACACTAACTGAAACCTGGCTAAAGCCTGATAGTACAGAAGTCTATGCCATTCCTGGTTACACAGCCATACACAACTGTAGGCCAGACCAACAAGGGGGTGGCACAGCCATATACTACTCAGACCAACTAGAATGTATCACTAATACTTGCACAAGGGATGAACATGGGGAATATATAATAGCCAAATTCAAATCCAAATACCTACAAAAACCTCTCACATTGATAAACATTTACAGAGTTCCACAGTCAAACATTAGCCAATTTAGTCAAAACCTAGGAAGTATGATAACTGATGCACGCATGAACAAAGATCACTTACTACTCTCAGGTGACTTCAATATAAATCTCCTGCAAGACCAGGACCCACACGTTACTGAATTCACAAACACAATGAGTAACTGTATGTTGCTACCAACAGTAACAAAACCTACAAGAGTTACAGAGACTAGTGTTTCCCTACTTGACCACATCTGGACCAACACCATATCCCCTTTAAAATCAGGCATAATTACAGATAATACCACAGACCACTACCCTACTTTTCTCATAACAACTCTTGGTAAATTACCCCAAGACACTACTAAAGTCACCTTCAGACTTCACAATGAGGCAGCCATTAATAACTTCACAACAGCAGTAGCAAACATTGACTGGCACACTGAGCTAGAAATCTATACAGATATTGACGAATGTATTAATAATTTTCTAAAAAAGACCCAATACCTCTATAACAAGCACTGCCTAAAAAAACTAAACAGATGACAGCTAAGAGACTGAACAGTCCCTGGTTAACACCCAGCATTCTCAAATCCATAAATACAAAACACCAATATGAAAAACAGTACAGAATGGGTCACATAACCAGAGACCAAACAAAACGTTACTCGTCAATCCTAACCAGCCTGATAAGAAGGGCAAAAAAATTGTATCATGAGAACAGATTATCCAACTTACGAGGTGATATAAAAAAGACCTGGAAAACCCTATCAGAAATTCTAGGAACAAAAAAGATATCACGAAATAGCGAAATAAAATTAGCAAAATCAGATGAACCCCAACTCCCACCAACAGAAACAGCAAACAGACTCAATGACTTCTTCTCCACTATAGGACAAAACCTTGCCAATAAAATCCCAAGCTCAGATACCCCACCAAATGACTACCTCACTGGCAACTACCCGAACACACTGTTCCTAGCTCCGACTAACCCATACGAAGTCTCCCTTATTATCAACACGCTAAAAAACAAGGCAGGAGATTTAAATACCTTACCACCCTTTATATACAAAAAAGTGTCACAAGTGCTATCACCAATCATTGCAACACTCTTTAACAAATCCATTGAATCCTCCACCTTCCCCACAATACTCAAAATAGCAAGGGTCACCCCGATCCACAAAGGAGGAGACCAAACAGAGTTGAATAACTATAGGCCAATATCCAACTTACACCCTCTCTCAAAAATCTTCGAAAAATTAATTCATAAACGAATCTACTCCTACCTTATCTCCCAAAACATACTCAACCCCTGCCAATTAGGATTCAGGCCAAATAAAAATACTAATGATGCTATTATACACATGCTAGAACATATATACACTGCAATAGAGAAAAAAGAAGTCCCACTGGGGATCTTCATTGACTTACGTAAAGCTTTTGATACAGTTAACCATGACTTGCTCCACGTAAAATTGTCACACTATGGTATAAGAGGGCACTCCCTCAACTACCTCAAGTCATACCTCAGCAACAGAAGCCAATATGTGTATGCAAATGGGGCAAACTCTTCTGCACAACCAATTACAGTTGGTGTCCCACAGGGAAGTGTCCTTGGCCCTCTTCTCTTTCTCCTATACATAAATGACCTACCAAATGCTTCGCAATTACTCAAACCCACACTATTTGCAGATGACACTACATACGTCTTCTCCCACCCGAGCCCAGTCACGCTAGCCAATACTGTAAATACAGAATTACAGAAAATATCTACCTGGATGAGGACTAACAAACTTACACTAAACATTGACAAAACCTACTTCATTCAGTTTGGTAACAAAAGCTACAGATGTCCCTCTTAACATAATGATAAACGGATCACCTATCACAAAGCTAGCAGAGGGAAAATTCTTAAAAAAATCCACCTTGAAAATAGACTCAATTTCTACACATAACAAAAAAATTTCTAAAAAATTTCCAAGACTGTAGGCTATATCGAAAATAGGGTCTAGCCCCACAGTCAGCCCCCCGGCCCTATACCCTTCTTTTTCCCCCTATCCATATGGAATTTGTGCATGGGGTCCAAAAAAAGTAACCACTCAACCAAAAATTTTCCCAAAAAAAGGCTGCA